GCATGTGACCAAAGTGCGAAGAAACCATCCAGGTACCGCATGGTCACTGCCGGTTGTAGCGGTGCCATCTTCTATTGAGTTATAGAAAGTGGAAGAGCTTTGGAAAAATTAAAGTCACGGTGGAGGCAAAGGAAAGTGAGCGGTTACCGTTCCTGTATGTTAAAGTGATTGATTCTAATTGGAAGCTAAAAAGGAAGTCTTATGTTGGATATATCCATATCCGGTCCCATCACAACTACAGACTAAGGATATGGATAATGACCATGATAGTCCGAAGCCTACGCCCAACGGACGTAGAATTCTGGGACGAGGAGTTGGACACATTGATTCGGCAATGGCTATCCAACTGAAGCAATACAAAGAAACACAAGGGCCATGGAAAGCATATGGCAGAACAGTGACTATAAAAAAACAGTAAGGATGTTGAAGGATTCCCAAAATTGGATATGCCTACGTTCCAACGAGCTAATTAAATAGCTACGACTAATACTAAGGAAATAGAATATCCGGGTGGCCATGAAAGAAAAATCAACACTTTTCACAAGTCTAGCTATGTAGAATGAAAGGGTAGACAAATTGGGTTGTTCAGGAGTTTACTGTATATCATGCCTGGATCAGGGATCTATCGCTAACCGGAGGAAAAGGGATCGCGATTAGAAAAATGGGGGTCAGAGAGTTTCGACAATAAAACAGTACAATTTTGGAGGCCTGGCAGTCAGGGAGCTAGGCTGACGCATATGCAAACAGTAACAGCAATTCGACGTTATCGCCAAAATCTAGTAGCAATCCACTTAAGATTCAGCACGCGACCAGAGATAGGCATCCACAGTTTGCTCAGGTTACACGGGTTTAATCAAGGAGGCGGCCCGTGAAGGCAATACCAGATATCTGCAGGTATGGGAATCAGAGCCTAGGCGCTCTGCTCGGTGAGAAGGCAGTGTACGCCTTGAGAAATAGCGCATGAAGTGTAACGCCCACTTGGATTTGAACCGAGGGAAATCAGTCAACAAGAAAGAGAAGGAACGGATCTACGGGACCATGAGGGGGATCCGGATTGCAGGCCCGAGTCAGACTAGTCTATCCAAAGAGAAGGGGTCGAGGTAAATAGCGGGTGTGATGATGCCACAAAAGGGCATACATTTGATGAGTTGAATATAAACAAGTGAAAAGTTGTGATAGGGGAGGAGTTGGATAAGAGGGTAGAGTAGATAGATAGGCCAGGACATAAAGGGGAGTAATAATATAACCGTTATCGGCAGAACGTTGGTGGAAGTATTGACTTCACTTTTGACGAGTTCGTAATGTGTTGCTGAATGGCAGCACTCACTGATAATGCCCGGGTAACGTTTGAGAACGTTCCAAGTCCATTGTCTCATGCGGAGAATTATGATAACTATTATTGCAGAGGACTTCGGACTAGGTGCGTTTCCCAGGAGAACAAGACCAACTTACGAGGTAAACCCAATTGTATTTTTTTCAAGTTTATAGTTCTTTTTCCCCTGCGCGTTGCATGAAGAACGAATGCCTCCGCTGAAAACAAAAGCCCATTTCGATTCTAAGCATCAAAAATTTCGATTTTAGTTTTGAGCAGGCTAGCTACAATCATTAAGATGGGTCGAAATGGCGGCTAGTGAAGTCTCACTACTACTTTATGCAAGAGCATACAATGTAGTAACCAAGCGCCTATCTTCTCAAAATAAATAATTCACTGTGAACATTATATGAGCACCCACTCCCATTTCGGGTGTCTGGTGGAGATATTCGGAGGCCAGTTCTACAATAAGATAATGGCGACTTCCTAACGGCCAGATGCAGTCTAGTTTACCGAAGCATATGTTCCGGCGCTATTTGTATATATACGAAAACAGAACCAGCTCAAAGTAATTAGATCAGAACGCTATGGGAAGCAGAGCTTCTAAGGATCCAATAATATAAATCCTTCAGGTTGACTGTGAATACAGAGGCTGTAAAGAACTTCGAGGGCCACATCAACCTGAAAACAACCGAGAGATAGAAACAGCACTAGGAAGATAAAGTACATCAGAGTCATTAAGCCTTGAACCAGCGACTTGTATACTAACGAGGATGGAAATTGACCCGAGTAGATTCTAACAAGATTTAGATACGAGTGGCGAAATTGGCCTCCATGGTATTTGAGATGCTTCAAAATTGCACAACGAAGGTAATCAACCCCGGGAGTTTGACTGGAATGGATCCGTAAATTTAGCCCCTCAGAAATGAGATGCGTGGAGAACCTGGCCCATCACAAAACAGAGTCCGGGACTATATTCACTGGACAAGGACTGCTTTTAAAAACGAATACAACTAACTCGCCTGGTTTATTGTCCTGGAATACGACGTTCATAGATGTTTGACTGAAGAAACAAGATGAAAATATGAAGCCCTAGATGGCTTATGTTGGAAGTGAACATCACTATACCCCATCTAGGATGAAAAGCCGGCCAGAAGAAACGGATAAGGCCCAAAATAGAGAAAGGTGCCTGTATTGCCTTGCGCACTAGCAAGTAATACATCATTAGGAGAGGTCCCCAGGAAGGCCAATTCGCAATGGCCTCTAAAGAGAGGTGGCTCAAGAGGGAGAAAGCCGACAGTAAGTCATTAAAATAAAGGTGATATTGCCTCTTGAATTATACGAATCCACAAAAAAGCCTCTCAAGACTGGAAAGCCTAGATAAGCAGAAAAAAGAACACAAACAAACTATGACCGCCAACAGATGCACAAATAGACCAGGATGCGAGTTGTTTCAGGATAAGGCAAGGGTTTAATGGTGGGAGATGTGCCCCGAGAGACCCCTCAAGCAAACTGCCCAAATATCGGATAGCCATTAGACCAAACTATTCACACGATTAACAACAGAGATTGGGACAAACGCAGCCCGCCACCTTATCTGAATTGAATGATAAATCTTCAGTAAAGTGCAAGTCGTGCATCCGTAGATAAAAAAACACATGCATCCGGATTTTTCGCATGCTTATGTACGCCAAATAAGCCATCTACATGGCCCGAACCCTTTGAATCATGAGATGATTACTTTTTTTTATTCCCGTGTTCAATTGCTTGTCTCCCATGTGAAATAAGTAGACATGAAAGGACGCATACGATGATCTACCTCAGAGGAATAAATAAGGGCTAAAAATGTTTGAGCAATAATACAATATACAATAAATTAATTTATAAATCCAGATAGAGAACAATAGGACAGTGGTCACTGCCGGGCATTCCACATCGGATCTCGTGATCACAGATGCTGGGAAGGAAGCGGCGAGAAACGAGGAAATAATCGAGACGCCTAAAAAGGTAAAAATAACGTCAAATAACGTCAAATAACTCTTCAGAGATAAAAATGAATTTGAGGGAATATATATACAAGGTCGTGGCTCAAACAAGAGGACCACAGGGTAATTACTTGATGGGAAGTTTAAACGAAGAATACAGGTAGGCATTGAAAAAGCCAAGGCTTAGTGATTGGGAAAAATTAGCAATATAAATAACTTATTGTCATCATAAAAATGGACAGAAAACAGCTATGTGTCGAAGGGGTGCGGCACAAAAAACAATGAGCTGGCGAAATAATAAGAATAGACTTCCGACATTCTAAGCGTGGTAGAGGGCAAAGATGCCACCCGGGTTTTTTAAATCAAATTAGCTGAGTGGTTTAAGCAAAATAAAAGCCCTTTTTGATTAAACTCACCATCCGACATTCCTACTACGTGCATTACTCATGTAAGTCCAATAAGTATAGGCGCGCCTCTGAGGGTAAAGATAACGATAAGTGTCGACGAAATCGAGGTCTGCAAGCAATTCAGAAAAACCAGCACGTTCTTCATCAGTGAACCCGGCGGTGCGTCTGTTGCTTTCGGGATTGGCCAAATCTAATACATCGGATAATGGTAAATTACCTATTTCTTGATGAGAAACGTTCAGGTCACCACACAAAATTACAGGCTTCTTTGCATCCAGTCGCTTTAAGTATTCTTTGAAATCAGGGTCCCAACTTTTATCCCTGTATTGAAGACGAACAAGTCCGCGTCCAGAGTTAGGTACATCTGAAGCCGGGTTACTCTTAAAACTAGTAGCATACATGCAGAAACCAGGAAGAATTGCTCGAATTCCAGGGTACTAACCCGTCCTTCACTATCATGCAAATCGATACCAATTCCTTTGCTGAATTTAGCGAGATTATCCTTATAAAAAACCCCCGTGCCAGCATAGCCCTCTTTTTCTGCAGAATTCCAAGCGGCAGAATATCCAGGAATATTAGCCTCTTTGGGAATCTTATTAAAAGCACACTTCAGCTCTTGAATTGCTAGAACATGGGGCTGCTCTTGCTTAAAATATGCCCTTGGATCAGTCTGATTGTAAATCATAAGAAAGCTACTTTCAGCCAGCTTCGAAGTCCATTCACGTTCCATGACACAAATTTGGTATTCCACTTTCTAGCAGGCGATGAAAGCTCAACCAACGCTCCTGGAAAGGCATTACACCACTCGTGAAGTGGAGGCTAAGGAAAATAAGTATAGGGAAAATAGCAAACCATTTTTTCAGAGAGAACCACTTTGTCTTTGGAGACAGATTCTAGTTCCTCTACTTTTTGCCTTGGCTGAAAAAATAAAGAGAAAGGCAAAACCTTGGATTCACCTAGCTTTTCCTCCAACTTAACGTGCTTAGTCCGCTTAGGCTTCTTAGATGAAGCATCAATAAGCTGAAGAGATAAGGTAAATATATCAAAGTACCGAGCGCCTTTTGGGTGGCATAAGGGGGGTAGATTATAAAAAGCGGTGGTTGGACGAGGAAAGATTGAACCGGCACGATAAAATACATCGTGTTTTGTTAATTGTATTACTATACAAAAGCTAAAATTAAATAGCAAAATTATAAATTAACCAATGTAAGACTCAGCATACGCAATTTAGTTATAGTATAACTTGGTATATTCACAAGTCTATGTCATCCTAAATTTACAGAGAATTAAACTAATATTCTTTGCTTACTTAAGAGGCCTAAAATCTTATTTAACACATTTACATTTTGCTTGTTGTTTTTATACGTGTTTTCCTTCAAATACTTTATAGGACTCACCCCGTTATTATTTCGTTCTCTTGTGCAGTGTCATAAAGTTATTCCTTAATTATATTACTTATAAATGAGCTTTTAAGAGTCTTATTAGGATTTAGAGAAGTGGGTAGACCTTAGTGGCGCAACTGGGTCATGTTGTCGGAGTTACTTAGTAGAACGCACCTAGTCCGAATATGTCTGCCATAGTAGTTTTCATGATGCCCAGTATCAGACAGTGGACTTTGTACATTCTCAAACGTTTCACCGTCATCGTAGTCAGCATAATCCGTGCGTTTTGCCATTCTTCGCACAAAGCTACGAACTCGTCAAAGATACAAGTGAATTCAATCCCCCGTCAAATGTTCTGCTAAAAACGGTTACACAATTACTCCTCTTTCTGCCTTGGCCTAGCTATCTACTCTTTGACCTCTTATCCAATTCCCGCCCTATCACAACTTCTGACGTGTTTAGATTCCACTCGTCAAAATATGTGCCCTTTTGTGGTAAATTTAGTGTAGCCTCATCACACTTGCTATTCACCCCGACCCCCCTTCTTTCGATCGGCTGATCCGACTCGGGCCTTCAATCCGGATCCCCTTATTGTCTCGTAGATCCGTTCCTTATCTTTCTGATTTACCTATTTCACTCGGTTCAAATCCCAGTGTGCATTTTATTCCAGGCGCTATTTCTCATGGCCCTAGATGTACATACCCTACCGATTTACTGAGCGGAGCGCCTAAGCTCTGATTGCCATGCTTGCAGATATCAGGCCTTCCCTGAGCAATCTGTGGACACCTATTTCTTGTCGCATGCTGCATCCCAAATGGATATCTAGTACATTTTGGCCATAACATCGAATTTCCGTGACGGCTCTTTTATCCGTCTACCTAGCTATCTGACTGCCAGGCCCTAAAGTTTTACTGGTTTATTCGAAATGGACATTACTCACTGATAACGTCTTCGCATTATTGCAGAAAACCCCTGCCCCCCCTTTCTTCATCTGGATCTTTTTTCTTATGGTTAGGGCTATATCCTTGATCCAGGCGTCTCCTTTTTGCTGGTCTTGCTTTATTCTTGTTTTCCTCGAGTTTGCTTAGGCAATAGACAAAGTTATCGCTAATTCTACCTTTCTCCAATCTCCTGTTCATTTATTTTTTTCCCTTAAGGATTTCAATGGTCTCCCTTATCTTCCGCTTCCTTGTGTTGTCACCGTATTGGGCTCTTCTTCTGTTTAATTTCAATTGATCTCGTGTTTAGTCTATGCGATGTGTTCCGTTAGTTCTGATATTTCGTTATCCGTTTTCCTTCAGAGCCTTTGATGTTCTTTGATTCGTGTGCTAATTTTTCTCCCTGTTTCGCCAGTATATTTCTGTTCGCAGGCGCCGCATGGCATGCAGTAAACTCCTGAACAATCAAATTTATCTACTCTATCATGTTGAGTCAGTAGAGTTGTGAAAAGTGTTGATTTCTTCTTCATGTCTATCAAATATTCCATTTCCTTAATAAGCAAACCGTCACGGAAATTCGGCGTTATGGCCAAAATGTACTAGACATCCACTTAAGATGCCGCATACGACCAGAGATAGGCGTCTACAGTTTGCTAAGATAACATTGGTTTAATCAAGGTGAGGACCCGTGAAGGGAAGGCCTGATATCTGCAAGCATGGCAATCAGAGCTTAGGCGCTCCGCTCAGTGAAGCGGCAGAGTACGTGCTTCTAGGTCCTTGAGAAATAGCGCCTGGAGTGCAATGCACAATGCGATTTGAACCAAGTGAAATGAGTAAATCAGAGAGATAAGGAACGGAGCTACGAGACAATGAGAGGATCCGGATTTGAGGCCCGAGTCGGATCAGCCGATCAAAAGAGAGGGGGTCGGGGTGAATAGGAAGTGTGATGAGGCCATACTAGATTTGCCACAAAAGGGCACATATTTTGACGAGTGGAATGTAATGAGATGTATTCACCCTATTTCGTGTAAGGTGATGAAGGACTGGTAGTAGAATTTTCCCA